TTTTTTAAGTTGGCTTCCAAAGAAGTAATAACTGGGTGACTGAGCGAATGAAAAGGAAAACGAAAAAGAGGGGAAAAGCGTTTCTGCATAACTTCAATCAACTCTTGCGATCACGATAGCAAGTGTTTTGTAAGCTCATTCCTAGAGCTTCTCGTTAGCCATCTTTGCTCTCCAATTTCTCCTTTTTCTCTCTTTCTTCCTCTATTCATCCTTCAATTAGTCCTCCTTAATTAAACATTTGTAACAGTGTGTTGCTGCTTCCTTGAGGAAAACTACCTCTATCCGGGCAAGTTTGAGGAACTGACAACAGAAAAATCCAGGCAAAGCAAACGAAAAACAACTTGGCTGGCTTGCTCCGGTTGGCAAGATCAAGTTTCAGAAGGCATAAGAAGCATTAAACCGCACAGACCGAGAAAAAGCAGAAGAAGCAGAGGCACAGTCGGAAGTCGCGCGGTAATTTGTCACACGCAGCAGCAGCAGCTAAAGTAGGGTGAGTGAGTGATAAAGCGAGGGGAAAGTGTGCTGTGCTGTGGTGTGTGTGTGCAGGGGCAAACGGTCTGCCAGTGCTGCCAATTGGCCAGCTGTCATTAAGCTTTAATTATGTTTTAGCAGTTTGTGGTCAGCAGCAAAGATAGTTGGGTTAGATAGTTACTGCTGTTCGGTGATCATGTTTGCAGCAGTCGTCGAGTTGCCGCAGAGACCCAGCACAAGCAGCAACAGCAAGCACTGAGTGGGCATAATTAGACATCTGCAGAATGAGAGAACTGTACTTTCACCAGCAGTTCCCAGTAATGCCATTAGGAGAGGGATGGTGCTGCTAGAGAGCAAAACAATTAGGCGCAAACGAGCAGAATTAGAAGTGTGCACAACTGGACATTTCACCAGAACTACTGTGTCTGTGTGTGTTTGTGAAAGTGCGTCCTAAAGGCGTCACTCAGCAGGCACATTTCAATTATGTCAAGTGGGAGTGATCGGAGCAGCAAAAGAATACTGATTGGCAGTACTGCACCGATGATAGCCGGCATTGCCAGCAAAAACTGCAATCAAGCAGTCATCATTAGATGTCTACTACATTGAAACACGAATCGAGGCACTCACTTCCCTTTTATGTGACAATTGTGGCAATCAATGCCACTGAAACTTAATTAATGGCAAACAATCAGCTAGTCAGCCAGTCTGGTATCAGAAAGAAGCGCATCAAACGAAACAGGGAATCAGCTCACTGATTGAACAGCACGGCAATCATAGATAGAATACAAAAAAATATTTTTAATACAAAAAAAGAATAGAACTTTCATTTTGTATCATCAGGTTCAGTACTTCAACTCTGGGTCTGCCTGTGTGCATTTGAGTGCAATCATTAGGCGTACAATGGTGTGCATGGTGGATGATGAATAAGAGGAGCTCGTACTTTGGCTGATGACTAATTTGACACCATTCAGCAGGTAGCAGGAGGCAGGCAGGCAGCGGCAAGGAAGTGGCAAAGATAGATAGATTGAGTGTCGGCCCTTGTGATCAACTCAGCTACAGCGTCAACTGCAGCAACACACAGCCCATCTCACAGGCTTTGCATAATTAATAATAATGGCAAAATGAATGAGCCTGCTTGAGTGTGTGTGGGCGCTTTTTAGAATCGCAGCGAGAATGGTCGATGATGATTCCACGACGGCGATAATTAGTGGTAAATAGGTGGAATGTTCTAGTGCTGCAATACCTGCTGCTAATTAGTGTGACGCTCTCAAGTACGACACCATACCATTAGGTGGAATGGGCAGTATAATGGGAAATATTGTGTGTGTGTGTGGTAGTGGGACAATGATCATCACATTACCATTTCGATGTTGCACAAAGTCCTTCTCCAGCTCCGGTGCTCTGGTGCTGTACGGCTGCAGTTGAGTGCCCACAGGAGACAGTTGCAGTGATGTCATTTGCAGTGGTGGCCCTCGCTGGACCACACATTGACGATGGCTGCTAATTGAATTTTTCAAGAGAGCACCAAGATTTCTACTACTACTACTACCACTACTTCTTGCCGATGACAGTGGCAGTAGAGATGATCGAAGCAGTTGAAACATGTTTTTCATAGGCTGGGTGATGCTTTTAGTGCCTAAAAACAAGTGAAATAAACCACCGACTACCTCTGATGTTGTGCAAGACTAATTGTAAATAAATAAATGCCAACTTCTGTGCCCGTGTGTGTGTCAGACTGCCCTTCTTCAGCTGCTGTTGCTGGGTGATTGAAAAGTGGAGGCCCTCCACTGTGGACTGTACTGCCCAACTGCCAAGCTCACATGTGAGTGAACAGGAGAACACGAACACAAGCTTACATGTGATAAGCTCGTGTGAAGATAAGCATCTCGGTGGAAGCAGCAGCAGCAGCTCTAAAGGACGCTAATTAGTCTGCACAGTAGTGCTCAGTAAGTGCTTCCCCGAATTACCCACAAATGTCATTTGAATTATGAGAAGAGGAAAAAGGCGGGGAGGGGTTTTTATTTACAAAAAGGGGTCAAACAGAGTAGATCAAACAGAAATATAAAAAAGCGGATATAAAATAGCAGGCTATTACGGGCGGCACCACCAGCAGCACTGAAAACGGCGGCGATCCCGCTGTGTACGTCAGCGTCCGCGTCACCGTCGCCACGCTATGATTCTTCACGAACAATTTGCTTCTTAACTTCCAGCACTCGCTTGTGCTTCGTTCCGGGCTTGCTGTGCAGCATACGATTAGCATCCCTATGAGAAAGAAAAAAGAAAAGAAAAAAAGGAAAGAGTGAGTTGACTTGCACATAATCTGTCTAGCAGCACTTGGCACTACGTACTTTCGGGTCTGTGATGCCTTGATAGTCTCCAGCTCCTTCTGGCCACTCTTGATGTGCTTGGGCACATAGCGATNCGAGAAAGAAAAAAAAGAAAAAAGGGAAAGAGTGAGTTGACTTGCACATAATCTGTCTAGCAGCACTTGGCACTACGTACTTTCGGGTCTGTGATGCCTTGATAGTCTCCAGCTCCTTCTGGCCACTCTTGATGTGCTTGGGCACATAGCGATGCTTGGCGATTCGTCTAACTTCAGGATGCTGAGCAAACTTGTCTTTCAGCTTCTCCTGGTAGCGGAAATTGCTCTGTTCTCTTGGTGCTTTCTGCAAACAAAAAGAAGAAGAATATGGTAAGTGCTGTCAAAGGTATATAGCAACAGAGAGTGCAATGTCGCATCAACTGCCGCCAATCTCAATGGCCCACCACCAAAACCACTTACAAAGCCCAGCTTTTCGGAAGCCTGCGCCTTCCAGATGCGAATGTCCATTTCGTCCGAACTGCTGATGATGTATCTGCTGTCCATCGACCAGACGATGTCAGTGAGGCGTTGCATGCGCTTCGTGTGGTACACTTCGTGGCTTCGACGTTCGCGCGAATTGAATATGCGAATTGTCTTATCGTAGCCGGCAGACACAAACTCACGTCCCGTGGGAGAGTAATCGAGCGAAATCACAGCAGAGATGTGATCTTTGTGCACTTGCAGCGGGAATGCCAGCTTGCGCATATCAAAAGTGTGCAGCCTGTGGGTGTCAGCAGAAAAAGTGGCAAGGTGTTAGAATCTGGTGCATGAGATTGACAGCTGACGTCTGTGTGGCTGCAGTTCCACTTGGCTTTGGCGTTGTGTTCAACCAAGCAAACTGAAGCTTTTCGCTTCTACTTACTGGTAATCTTCGTTGGCGACAGTAAAGACGAACGCCTCCATGGGATTCCAGCAAATGGCGTTGGAGCGCAGCGCAAGGACCACCTTGCGCACCGGCTCGGGCTTGCGAATGTCGTAGAGGATGACGCTGCGATCGGTGGCGGCGGCCACGGCAATGTCCGACTCGATGGGATTGAAGCGAATGTGGTTGATGGTGTCATTGCCCCACTGCCAGGACTTGAGGGGCGCCGTGCGGTTCTCTTCCCACAGATCGACGCCTTGGCCGCAGGTGAGCAGATAGGGCTTGTGCCGGTGGTTGTCCATGTAGTACACCGGGTTCCGCGTCACGATGGTGTTCATCGGTGTCTCGTCGGTGTACTGCAGACGCGTCTGCATCTCAGTGTCCATCTCCAGCACCGTCTCCTCGAGGAAGGAAAGGTCCCACTGTTTGATGTTCTGATTGTCGTCCACCGAGAAGAAGTACCGTCCGTGGTCGGGAATGCAGATGCTGCGCACTATGCCGTCGTGCGCCTTGATCGTCCTCATGCAGTGATGATTGGTCAGGTTCCAGGCCTTTATTTCGCCATTGCAAGCGCCGGAGAAGAGGACGCCGAGTTTTTGCGGATGTTTCGCCAGCTTCTGCACCGAGTCGGAGTGGCCGTCCAGCGAGCCTATGTACGGTTTTGCAAAGACGCGGTCCAACTTGACGGCATTTACCGCCCGTTGATACTCTCGATTAACCGCAAACGGGTGGAGTGCTGGATCGTAGTTGCGGTATTCTGGAACACAAACAAAAATGATCAAATCTGCTGGTTTGTTTACCTCACTTGTATAAGCACTTACGTTTGTGAATATCATTTTTCGTCTCGCGAATGTAATCGCCCGCACTCCGACTGATGACCTTTACTTTCATGATGATTCAGATGGCCGATTTTCAGAACATTCTTTGGATCAAAAGTGAAACAAAACAAAACAACTCGAAGAGCAGTTTCAGAAACAGCTGCAAAATAAAATCCACGTGCGAACGCGATGTGGCTCGAAATTGCCACACCGTACATCACTGTGGATATAGTCAATGTTTTGGAGAGAGAAAAAACCGATGACGTAAAACTCACTCATCGCGAAGATCCTCTACGATTTTGTACTACTGCAATTTGTGTGACTGTACGGCAGAAACGGCTCCCAAGCAATCTTGCAATCTTCCAGCGGTCGATTGCGACGAGAACAATCGCGAGAAGAGTCACTATAAACTGAGTGTAAAATCGGCAAACAGAGAGACAGTGTATACAGTTCGTCTTATAAAACTACTGCGCGTTCCATTTTCCCATCACTGACAACGGTGCCACAGCGGTGCATTGACAACCGAGCTCGATTTTTCTGGCAAATCAGTAGCAAACATGGCCACCTTCAACACTTCGCATCACCAGTCTGGTGGTGTTGTCCTCTTTAGCGGCGAGTTGATTCTCCTCTTTTGTGACAATGTTAATGTCACTCTTCCGCAGACCAGTCAGGAGGTAAGTGGTTAAAAACTCGTGGTTGACACTTGACACTTACCTTGACATCACCTCTCACATTTCATAGGATACTGGTCGTCTGTACCTAACCACTCATCGAATGATCTTCACGAGCAAGTCCATGAAGGGTAGTCTAAAATCGTTTTCCGCCCCATTTTACTCGATGCACGATCTGAAACTTGAGCAGCCAATCTTTGGAGCCAACTACATCAAAGGACAAGTGAACGATGCTCAGACGAGTAACAGCGTCGTTTTCAAGCTAAAGTTCAACAGTGGTGGTGCCATTGAGTATGGCCAGGCTTTGCAAAGTGCTGCTCGAGTTACGCGAAACAATGCGGCTCAAAATGCTTTCACGCCGCCTCCAGCATACACTGCATCGGCTGCACAATACTACCAGGTAACCTTCAATAGACATTAAGTTGAAAGCATTCTTTTTACCATTTATTACTTTAACATCTAGGCACCGCCAAATGTTTATCAGCCGGCCTACAATTGTGGTTTCGTTTTGCCTACGGACGTCTTTAACCAGGTAAAACCTTTGTTTTTGCAAACAGGGACAATTATTCTAATATTCTTTCCTCTAAAGCCACCACCGGCCGGGTTTGTCTATACATCCGAAGCGCCGCCTCCGTATCCTGGGCTTGCACCAGTTCCGGCTCCTGGAGCTAATTATCCACCTGGAGGTCAGCCTGGAGGGTACCAGCCAGCTAATTATCCGCCAGCAAATGGCTATCCTCCATCTCAAGCTGGTGGTTATCCACCGGCTCAGTCTGGAGGATATCCGCCTGGTCCATACCCTCCTCAAGAAGGTTATCCGCCAACCCAGCCCGGATATCCTTCAGCTGGGGCTGCCTATCCGCCCACTCAAATTGGGTTTGCTGCTGACATTATGGGCGGTGGTGCGTATCAGCAGACAGCTCCTCCTGCTTATCCCGGTTATCCTCCTGCTTCAAGTGGTTACACCCCAGCTTCGTACCCAGCAAATGGCTACCCGAATGCCTCGGCTCCAAGCGCTCCCGGCTATCCCGATAAGAAATCGCAATAAGCAGCTCTTCAACTTGTCTTCGATTCCAATTTTATATTTATAACGAACAATAATCCGTGAGGTTTCAAGCACTACTCTGTGCAAAAGAATGAGTGACCTGCTTTTGTCCTGACAATTACCATTTCCGATTATTATTAATTGTCTAACCTTAACGAGAACAACCATGTAAAAAAGTAGTGCTCTTTATCCTAGCTTTTCTCGTTCACCGCAATATTACACACATGTTTTCTTTGTTTGCTTGTTAAGAGGTTTATTTACCATTACGAACACACAATAAATCACTCACACTCTGCGCCTAACACACAAGGTCAATATCTGACACAAGGTATAAATCATCAAATGTGGGCGTAAGATTGAGGTAACCACAAAAAGTGAGATGATCCAAAAGAAGTGCCATCAGATGGCAGCCATCTACAATACTTCTTACCAGTGTTGGCAGCTGATGGTGATGATGATGACAACAGGACAACAAGACTGAAAGCAGCAGTGCGGAATGGCCAACAGCGTTGAGCAGAAGAAGCTGGTGCCCATCGAGGCCGCCCTGGACCGGCGAATGAACCACGGCATCGTCGAGTACCTGGTGAAGCTGCAGACGGAGGACAAGCTGCAGTGGGTGCCCTGGACCGCCGTCTACTGTCGACAGCTGATGGACGCCGAGGCGCACCAGCAGGAGGAGAAGGCCGAGGCACAGAGCACCTCGAGGAAGGAGGCAGCACCACCCTCCTCCAACCACGGCATCATTGACATCTGAACATCCATCCAACACTTCATAATGGCTCTATTTATAACCGTTTGACATGACATGACATGACATCTCTCTCTCCCTCCTTCCTCCTCCTCATTTGAAGAACAAACAAACACTGTGATTGATCTGCCCAATGTAAATAATAAACACATATTCCTCACAGACACATTGTTGTCGCCGATAGCATCTCCTCCTTCTCCTTTCTTTCGCTGACCTCGAATCCTTTGGTTCTGCCAATCCTTCCCTTCTCTTTTCGCCTCGTACACCGCAAATCCCGTTTTTTCCGAGTACCATTGCGTCATCTGGTGCGTGGAAAAGGCAGAAAGTCAGCTGCTGTTCTCTCCGTTGGAACATCCCCAAAAGGCAGTCCGTTGAGAGTAAGTGAGAGAGAGGAGCTCAAGTCGACCTCGCAGACTCGATGCTGGCACAACTGGCAGCAGCAGCAGCAGCAGTCGTTGTGTTATGTTTTTGCCTGTCATATGCAACCGATTGCATACGACTTGAACAGCTGCAGCAGCAGCACTTCACTTCACTTTTTCTCATTTGGTGCTCACCAGCGTTTCATCGAGTGCATCACCTCAGCCATCACCACCACCCTCTTCCTCTTCCAGTGTGCGTGACCAGCAGTAGTGCAAGCTCATCAGCAGGTGCTGGTCCTGGTGATCGCCCCCCGAGCAAGGATCATTCACTTCAACATCAACATCAGCATCCACTGCCTGACTCACCTTCGCCAGAAAGTGCACTCACTCATGAGCACATAAACACACAATATTAAAGTGGCAGCAGTTCTCATTACCATCACAACGAGCAGCAGCATCGTCACCAGGCAGCATCAGAAGAGTGTACGACATCTTAGCAATCAGCAGCGGCATCAACAGCACACCACGAGCATTCTTATCAGCGGAGTACTCTCCAGTGCCTCTGCATCCTGCTGCGGCGACAACAAACAGCAACCATCAGCGGCAAGAGCACAGCACAACCATGGTCAACTATGAATCGGAGCAGACGCCGGCCACACAGGCAGTCAACCAGAAGATCGCCAACCTCAGCTCGGTCAACAGCTTCACCACCACCACCTCCACCAGCAACAGCAGCGGTAGTGCTCAGTGTTCAGTGTCAGCTAACGGCTCCAACGGTTCAGCAACGGGAGGAGCGGTAGCAGCCGCAGCAACGGGGACAACAGCAGGAGGTGGCAGCAGCAGCAGCAGCAGCATCCTCGGCGACATCACCAACCTGACGCCAGAGGAAATGAAAAAGCTTGAGGAGATTCGCATGAGAAGGTCAAAGCTGACGTATGAAATTCAAAAGCTGAAAGAGGAGATCTCCAACGTCAAACGAGAGATGAGTCGCCTCGACCAGACGCCCAGTGATGCGAGCAGTGGCCTGAACGGCGGCCCACTGAAGGACGACGTCAACAACGCTGCCCAGAGAGCCAAACAGCTGTCAATAGGCAAGAAAAAGTTCAACATGGACTCGAAGAAGGGCATCGAGTTCCTGATGGAGAACGGCCTGCTAAAGAACACGCCCGAGGACGTGGCTACCTTTCTCTACAAGGGCGAGGGCCTCAATAAGACGGCCATCGGCACCTACCTCGGCGAGAAGATCGACTTTAACCTGGCCGTTCTGGACTGCTTCGTTGAGCTGCACGACTTCAAGAACCTGCTGCTGGTGCAGGCACTGCGCCAGTTTCTCTGGTCATTCCGCCTGCCCGGCGAGGCGCAAAAGATCGACCGGATGATGGAGAAGTTCGCCGCCCACTACTGCCAGCAGAACCCGGGCGTCTTCAGCAACACCGACACCTGCTTCGTGCTCAGCTTCGCCATCATCATGCTCAACACCTCGCTGCACAATCCCAACGTCAAGGACAAGATGACCATGGACAAGTTCATCGTGATGAACCGGGGCATCAACAACGGCGGCGACCTGCCGAAGCAGCTGCTGCAGTCGCTCTACGAGAGCATCCACCGGGAGCCGTTCAAGATTCCCGAGGACGACGGCAACGATCTGATGCACACCTTCTTCAACCCGGACCGCGAGGGATGGCTGTGGAAGCAGGGCGGCCGCTACAAGGGCTGGAAGCGGCGGTGGTTCATCCTCAGCGACAAGTGCCTCTACTACTTTGAGCACACCAGCGACAAGGAGCCAAGGGGCATCATTCCCCTGGAGAATGTGGACATCAAGGAGATCAGCGACCGGGGCGGGCGGCAGCACTGCTTTGAGCTGTACTCCGCCATCGGCGAGGTGATCAAGGCCTGCAAGACGGACACCGAGGGCCGGGTGATCGAGGGCCGGCACACGGTGTACCGACTGGCCGCTTCCACCGTCGAGGAGAAGGACCTCTGGCTGGAGGGCATCAGGACGAGCATCAGTCGCAGTCCCTTCTACGAGATGCTCTCCGCGAGGAAGCGAAAGGTCACCTACTCCAAGTAGTGAACTCCATCCAGTGTGTATGTGTGCCTTCTCTCATGGGGACCCAGTCAGTCAGTCAGCCCTGTTCCCCGTCTTCTGGTCTACTACTATTTTCGTCACCTTCACTCTAAGTCAGAACCACCTCATCGCCTCTCATCTGCATCTTCTCATCCTCTCATCTTCTCATCTTTCTGCCCCAGTCAACGAAACAACTCAACTCATCTCCCCACTGACCACAGTTTTTATCAGCATGAGGAGGAGGAGGAGGAGGAGCACAAAGACTCTGGCAACGCAGTTCACGGACAGATTTTAATATTAAAAGTGCATCAACACAACAATAAATGTGTGTGTGTGTTTGTGGAAGTCGTCATCAGCACCACCACCACCACCACCACCACTGGCCTCGATGCTGATCACTGCAGTGAGAGATAGACTCCACTTCATTGTCTCAGCTGTGGCGGCACATCCTCTCTTTGTTTGCAGTGCTCAGTTCACCTCGTTAATTGCCACTGACGTGTGGTAATTAAAGCGCGACGGCGGCTGCAGTGTTCACACTGGCCGATGGCGACGGCATTTGCACTGCCACCACCACACCACACCCGACGATGTTCACACTGACCAAGTGTTGCCGAATCCTCTCTCTAACACCTCCCCCTCCCCTTCCGTGATCTATTGCCTTTGGCCTACTGCTGCTCCCTCTTCACCTCACCTCACCTGTACAGTTCTCCCATCTTTTTTGCCCCTCCCCTTTTCATTGCATCGACCATTCATTAACTCGATAATCTGTTGATCCAGTGATGTGTTTGCGCACCCATCTCTGCTGATGTTTCTCTTTTATATTATTGATAATAAAAATGGTTTATTGTTGAACGACTTTACACAACGATATAGTAGTAATAGAGGTTTTAAATAATCATTACATTTCAGTGCACTTTTTACATGAGCGTTTGATGGGAGTTCGAGAGAGGGAAGGATGCTGGGGCGAGAGAACAAATAACCATAAAGACATGGGCTGGGGCTTGGGGCTGGCGACCACACTCCTCGGTGCGCTTGCCACACTGGGCACTGACCACACAAACTAGGTGTGCTCGCTAAGGCAACAAAGAAAATGGAGGGGATCTACTGCTTAGTAGGACCGTACAGCAGGCGGCACTGTGCTGCAGTCGGAGTCGAGCGTCTTGTCAATGACCGGACGGTACCAGAGCTTCACTGCGCCGGTGCTCATGTCCACTGTGGTGAGAGTGTGCTTGCGCCAGTGCTTCTCCACGGGCAGGCGCGTCTGTCCCTCCAGCGGCTTCTTGTAGTCGTACTCGTCGATGCGATCCTTGAAGTCCTCTCGAGCGTGGGCGCCTCTGCTTTCCTTTCTCGCCGCCGCCGAGTTGATGGTCATCAGCGCGTTGGCCATCAAGTTTTGCAGCTCCAACGTCTCAACAAGGTCCGAATTCCAAACCAGGCCGCGGTCACTCACCTGCGTGCAAGAGATTATGGCAGCGGGAGGGAAAACAAAGAAAGAAAGAAAGAAAGAAAAAGAGGCATTATTAGCACAGATGATGGAAAGCAAACACATTTATAAAGAGAACACAGTCATCCTCCTACATGGTGAGTTAATTCCCATAGTCACACACACACACACACAATGGTGAGCGCCCGAGACACGGGCGGCCAACGATAACGATCGAGTAGTGAAAAGGGGAGAGAGCGAGAGAAAGCACAGACAGACAGAGACTGGATGATGCACAATCAACGTCAGACCAATTAGGTGGCATTAGAATAATAAAAAGGAGAACATCAAGAGCAGCAAGAGCGGCAAGAGAGTGGTCGTCAGGTGAGTGCATCGCTCTCTCCT